AGTGTAATAAAAGGAGAATTGAAGCGAAACAAATTTTGTAAGCCTATTACCAATAAATATGATTATAGAGTACAATTTTTAAAAAAATTCCTGATATGGTTAGAAAAATGGCATAATCTAGAGAATAATAATGGACACCTGACACCAGAAACGTATACAGCTCTATATCAAAGCACGCTGACTCTACTCAATATAATTGAATATTCATTTAATCAATTTGACATTGAGTATGTATTACCTGGAAAATTCACCACTGATAATTTAGAAAAACGATTTGGCAATTATAGACTTTTATGTGGCTGCAATTACAATGTGTCATATGATGAAATTTTAAATGCTGAAAAGAAAATACGGCTGAAGCATATTTTCAATGAAAAGAAATCGTCATTTTCTTTAGCAGAAATTAAAACAAGGTTCAAAAACTGCTTAGAAACTCAAGAAAAATTTGATTTCTTGGATACCAAACAAAATCCTGAAGTTTTGGATATATTCAATGAAGTATTTGAGACAAATTACTTAGCCAATTGTGACATAGAGGATAGTACTAAGACTTATATATCTGGATATGCTTCACACGCTATCTCTAAAAACCTAAACTGCGAGATATGCAAATCGCTAATAGTTAAAGAAAAAGGTTCATTAACAACAAATGTTTATTTTGATCATTTGCAAAGAGGAGGACTGTCAATTCCAACCAGTTATGTACCAATCATATTCTACCATATGTATGCCATTTTTGAATCTATTATTAATGTAGATAGATTGGAAATTTTCTTCTTGAAAAGCAATAATCAAAAATTTATTTTGTGTCAGTTAACCTTGCTCAGCATTCAGTCTGACTTTATATACAGTGAATTTTCTTTAACTTGCATCTGTGGCCGCAATTATGCAGATATTTTATCTAAGCTTTTAATTTTGAATGATTATGTAAAATTGAAAAATAACAGTAAAACTGAAAGTAAATGTAAAACAAACAGGTAACTCCACATTTCCAAGCTGGGCCAGTTGGAACACAGTGTGCTGACACCAAAAAACGTATACTAAATACTTTTAATTAGGTTAACTGTATTAGCGACTCATATATATCACGATTATTTCATATTTTTAAATGTTTTAGAGCTATTTCATATTCAGACGATTTGTATCGAATCGAACTGTCCTCTTTTCCAAAATTTTCTTTTCTTTTCTTTCATCACCTCTCGTAGTTGACGTCGGCTGTGATAGTATATATCCCAACTTCGGTACGTCCTAGTATCTGTCTAGCTTATCATTTGACGGCGATGAAAATTTGTCGATTCAGCCGGCAATGAGTCCATCTACTCGACAATCGATCGATCTACCTACAAGTGGTCGGCACGCGAAGCCAGTCAACCTGCCGCCCAACAGTCCATCAAGTCAGGAAAAAACATCTTTTCCACCACGACCAATGAGCCACTCCTTTCGCGGTGGATTGAGAAAATGCGTGTCTGCAGCCTTTCTAACATTCTGTGATTAAATTATAATCACCCGTACACTCCCTCACGCCCCCTGTACAACCCCCGACCGTCTGGAATTGACCCCATGCCGCGCAAAAGAATTTGCTCTCATTAGTTTGAATGGAAAGGCGAATGGTCAGTTGTGCGAGAAATTTCACATACGTTGTTGCGGATGTTCCTAAGATACGAAGGTAATTAACGTATTTGGTGTTGCTTTTTATCAATTTGCTTTTCGTAGATTATGTAAATGGTGAGAAGCACTATACTGTGTGACAAAACAAGATAAATTGGGTTATCAGAATCGGATAGACATACCTTTTTTAGTCGCTCTGTATATCTTGTATCCTTCACAAGAAAAGAGAATATTTTAATTTATTAATGTTAACTTGGAACGTTAGATATTCTCTTCCATCAAAAAATGTTTTTTCTGCCTACGTTTCTCAGCTAAAAGGATGTTCGGGTCATGGTGAATACTCGACAGTTCTCTGTCTCAGTTCTTAAGATTCTACATACAAGTTATGTACGCAGCAAGTTAGGTATGTTATTATATTAGTAATATAATAAGTGACATATAAATCTGAACACCCAGTTTAAATGGTTTTATTTTAATAAAATTTTGTATAAGTACTTAATGAAGCATAATAAGTAAATGATAAAAATTTCAAAATGATTGCACTGCTTTAAAGCCCTTTGACCTTTAATAATGTGTGGATGCACCCTGATGTGCATTCTCCAACGCGCCTAGGCATGCTTCTGATCAGGTGGTCAATGTCCTCCTGTGGTATCTCATTCCAGGCAACCACCAACTCCTCTCGAAGTGCTTCTAGAGTCTGAGGAGGACGTTTCAAATCGAGCAATCTCCTACCCATCATATCCCACACATGCTCAATTGGGGATAAGTCGGGAGATCTTGGTGGCCATGGTAACAATGTGACATCATTATGTTGCAAGAAGTCTATTGTGACTTTTGCAACATGTGGTCGGGCATTATCTTGTTGGAAAGTTGGATCTGCCCGGGTGTCAAGATAGGGTAAAAGATGGGGTTCTAGAACCTCGTGGATATAACGCTGCGCGTTCATGTTACCTCTGATGAAGATTAAAGGTGACCTGGCACCATAAGCTATAGCACCCCAAACCATAACTCCAACAGTGTGATGAACATGTCTTTCAACAAAAAACTGTGGATTCCTCCTTTCACCACGTCGCCGTCTAACCCTGGCACGACCATCGTGCATGCCTAAACAAAATCGAGACTCAACACTAAAGACAATACTGTTCCATTCCTGATCCCAGAGTGACCGTTGTCTGCACCACTCAAGGCGATTACCTCGGTGTTCTCGAGTTAAAGGCAGGACCCAGTGTGGCCGGTATGAAAACAAGCCAAAACTTCTCATTCGTCGGTAAACACTTCGCATGCCAATAGGTCTTCCGTGTTCTGCAAACCATTCATTTGCAATGGACCTGGTAGTGGAGAAACGGTCCCTTAAGGCCAATAATCTTAGGCGGCGGTCTTCACGGTCTGTTGTTCTACGGCGGCGTCCAGTGCCCCTTGCTCTTTGCGTACGGCCTTCTCGAAGCCATGCCTGTCAACACCTAACCACAGTGTCTACACTTCTTTGCACGCTAACTGCAATTGCCCGAAAAGAAAGTCCAGCTTCCCGAAGTCCCACTGTACGGCCCCTATCAAACTCACTAAGTTGACGAAATCGTACAGGTCTCCGAACTCTAGACATCGTAACCGATCGTAAAAGATGTCAAGAACCAAAATCCGCCAACGTTGATTCTTTACTGCGGCTGAAATATTCATTTTTAGAGCGTTAGTGAATTAAAAAAAAAGCAGTATAAAAACCGGAATGTCCAACTGATAAGGCTGAAAATTTTTTCACTTGTTATTTACAGTAAGATAAATACATTCACCAACTTTTATTAAAATAAAACCATTTAAACTGGGTGTTCGGATTTATATGTCACTTAGTATACAAAAATCACACACTTTTACCAAACAATTTGTCTATTTAGAAGATCCGATTCTCGCTAGGTAGCCTGAATTAAATCCACCTAGTTCTGGTGATGAAATCAGAAATGTTACCAAGTTTATCCATAATATTGCTGGAAAATTTGAGAAATCCATGCGTATCCTCAATCTGACTATTTCTCCAGAATTGAATCCTGAATATATACTCAAAATATAATAAGACTTGATATCCAGCTTTCAAGCTGAGTCTATCACAGTTATACTCCTTGACGCTGTAATTTTCCAGGAGGAACCAACCTCACCTCAACCTTCTATCGACAGACTTTCAGTGACCTTCGCGGACGATGAATTGTCAACAAAAATAAACTACTTCAATCCGCACAAAATGGACAAAATGCATTTTCCACCCGTATCAGGTAACGTACAGTTATATCTCTGATTAACGCACTCTACCCGAAAATAGTGTATGTCGGAGTCCAAAAACACTAAACATTTCACCCCAAACAAAGCAGAAATAAAGAGCATCTTAAAAAACGATCTGCATGCACTCTTGAAGCCTCGCTAGCATTTCGAATACTCTCACTTTAAATTAAAATAATATGAACAACTCGAACATTGCTGTGTGAGTGTGCCATTTTTTTAGAACCGATATGTAAAGTTTTGTTTACCAACACACAGTGCATGGATTCAGTACTGTTGAGCATCGTACGTGTTCACGTTTGATCTGACCGGATTAGGTTATTTATGATTATTACTAAAATATATTGTAGAACCGTGATTGTTTTTGTCTAGATGGTGAGGAATCAGACCAAGAAGATTATTCTGCAAGTGTCAATGCGATAATACAACGAAAAGCTTCAACCAGACGCTCTAAACGTAGGAGTGGTAGAAGAACAAGCTCCCCTCTAGACAAAGCTGGGATGGAAAGCATACGCAGGAGATCTTCGGTTTACACCACATCCTCTGGAGAGTAAGAAAATACCTTGCCTTGACATTGAATGCATTTTTTCAAGGTCATAGTTGAATTTGATCAGTAACGTAAAGTGACACTTACTGTTTGTTTGACACTGTAGATAGTGTAGAGTTTATGTTATATCTTGCAATTTCAGCACTGCGATTACTGTAGATGAAAATCTAGCTCCTGAAGTGACTCAAGAAGAAATTTTCGAGAACATAAAATTACACAAAGAGGTATTGAGCAATGTCAAGATGCAGCCGTGGAATATGAGGAAAAAATTGAAACTTGTCGTGCAAGCCAAAGCCTATATCAAAAAGCACGAAGGCGCTTTACAAGAAAGGCTGGCTCAGAGTCATTCCACGAGAGATATGCTAGCCAGATGGCATATTCTGTTGATCAAAGTAAGTATTTTTAACAAAGGAAAAACGTAGAGTCATAAGTAGAGTCTGTGAAGGTACGTTTCTGTTGCAACATGCAATTTTTAATCTGATAATCTTTGACATATTGCGCCACGTGATTCCGGTACATGTGCTTGCAACTGATCGTATTGTGGAAACGCACCTTAAAAAAATCGTTATCTTACGATCTTTTCAGAGGTGGCACAGATGGCAGAGAGAAATGGCGAATCTATCCATGTGGTTTATACCGTGGGAAGTGAAAATAAAAGAGATAGAATCACATTTTGGATCAGTGGTCGCGTCTTATTTCATATTTTTGAGATGGCTGTTCTGGGTGAATATAGTGATATCAGTAGTTTTGATATCTTTTGTGGTCATACCAGAGGTAAGTAAAATGTCGAATTTTTTAACTTCCTATTACGAATCTTTTTGAGATTTGCACGATTTGCATTTTAAACGTTTTCGAAACTACCAAAATCTTATATACTTACATTTTCAAAATATTTATTATTTTTAAAATTTCCAGAACTCAGATTTTCCAGAATATTGAGGATTCAGAAATTTTGAATATCCTGAATAGATTTGGAAATTCTGAGAACTGAAAATCTGGGAATCCTGAAAACTAAAATCTTAGAATATATGAAATATTAAATACTGATTTAGAAATTTTGACAGTTCCAGAAGTTTTGAAAATTTTTTAAATTCTGAAAATTGTTTGAATCGTTGGTTTTAAATATTTTGGAATCCAGAAAATTTTGAAAATTCTAATAGTAGTGGAAATTTTGATAACCATGACAATTCTGAAAATTCTGAAAATTTTGAAAATGTCCAAAAATGGTAATTTTAACTCAGAATTTAAAAACTTAAAAATTTAGAAAGTTTGAAAATTTGAAAATTTTGTAAATTTTGAAAGCTGAATTAAGAAATTTGAAATCTTGGACAGATTTGAAAACTGAGAACTGACAATTTTAAAAATTTTGAAAATCTTGAAAATTTTATTCTTTGAAAGTTTCGGACAGATTTGAAAACGGAGAACTGACAATTTTGAAAATTATGAGAATTTCATGAAATTTTGGAAATTTTTATAATATGAAAATTTTGTAAACATGAATTTGAGTCCGAAATTACCGAAATTCTGAAAAATTTTAGATCAAAAATTTTGGCATTCCAATATTTTCGAATTTTCAAAATACCCATTATTTTCGCAATCTTGCAAATTCCCAGAAGTTAGATCTTTCATAATTTTGAAGATTAAAAAATTTTGAAGATTCAAAAATTTTGAAGATTTTCCAGGATATTGAGGATTCAGAAATTTTGAAAATCCTGAATAGATTTGGGAATTCTGAGAACTGAAAATCTTGGGAATCCTGAAAACTAAAATCTTGGAATATATAAAATTTTAGAAAATGTTTTAGAAATTTTGACAGCTCCAGAAGTTTTGAAAATTTTATAAATTCTGAAAATTCTTTGAAATCCTATTTTAAAAATTTTGGAATTCAGAAAATTTTGAAAATTCTAATATTAGTGGAAATTTTGATAACCATGACAATTTTGAAAATTCTGAAAATTTTGAAAATGTCTAAAAATGGTAATTTTTAACTCAGAACCCAGAACTTGAAAATTTAGAAAGTTTGAAAATTTGAAAATTTTGTAAATTTTTAAAGCTGAATTAAGAAATTTGAAAATCTTGGACAGATTTGAAACTGAGAACTGACAATTTTGAAAATTTTGAAAATCTTGAAAATTTTATTTTTTGAAAATTTCGGACAAATTTGAAAACGGAGAACTGACAGTTTTGAAAATTATGAGAATTTCATGAAATTTTGGAAATTTTTATATTTTGAAAATTTTGTAAACTTGAATTTGAGTCTGAAAGTACCGAAATTCTGAAAAATTTTAGATTAAAAATTTTGGCAGTACAATATTTTCGAATTTTCAAAATACCCATTATTTTCGAAATCTTGCAAATTCCCAGAAGTTAGATCTTTCATAATTTTGAGGATTCAAAATTTTGAAGATTCAAAAATTTTGAAAATCCTGCGAAGATTTGAAAACTGTGAGAACTAAAAGTTCGAAAACGACGGCAATTTTGAAAACTGCGAAAATTTTGAAATCCATTAAAAAGAATGAAAATTTGAAAATTTTGTCAATTTTGAAAGCTGAATTAAGAAATTTGAAAATCTTGGACAGATTTGAAAACTGAGAACTGACAATTTTGAAAATTTTGAAAATCTTGAAAATTTTTATTTTTTGAAAATTTCGGACAGATTTGAAAACGGAGAACTGGCAATTTTGAAAATTATGAGAATTTATGAAATTTTGGAAATTTTTATATTTGAAAATTTTGTAAACTTGAATTTGAGTCTGAAAGTACCGAAATTCTGAAAAATGTTAGATAAAAAATTTTGGCAGTCCAATATTTTCGAATTTTCAAAATACCCATTATTTCCGAAATCTTGCAAATTCCCTGAAGTTAGATCTTTCATAATTTTGAAGATTCAAAAATTTTGAAGATTCAAAAATTTGAAGATTTTCCAGAATATTGAGGATTCAGAAATTTTGAAAATCCTGAACAGATTTGGAAATTCTGAGAACTGAAAATCTTGGAAATCCTGAAAACTAAAATCTTAAAATATATATGAAACATTAAAAAATGTTTTAGAAATTTTGACAGTTCCAGAAGTTTTGAAAATTTTATAAATTCTGAAATTCTTTGAATCCTTGGTATTTTAAAAATTTTGGAATTCAGAAAATTTTGAAAATTCTAACAGTAGTGGAAATTTTGATAACCATGACAATTTAGAAAATTCTGAAAATTTTGAAATGTCCAAAAATGGTAATTTTTAACTCGGAATTTAAAAACTTGAAAATTTAGGAAGTTTGAAAATTTGAAAATTTTGTAAATTTTGAAAGCTGAATTAAGAAATTTGAAAATCTTGGACAGATTTGAAAACAGAGAACTGACAATTTTGAAAATTTTGAAAATCTTTGAAAATTTTTATTTTTGAAAATTTCGGACAGATTTGAAAGCGGAGAACTGACAATTTTAAAAATTATGAGAATTTTATGAAATTTTGGAAATTTTTATATTTTGAAAAATTTGGTAAACTTGAATTTGAGTCTGAAAGTACCGAAATTCTTAAAAATTTTAGATTAAAATTTTGGCAGTCCAATATTTTCAAATTTTCAAAATACCCATTATTTTCGAAATCTTCCAAACTCCCAGAAGTTAGATCTTTCATAATTTTGAAGATTCAAAAATTTGAAGATTCAACAATTTTGAAGATTTTCCAGAATATTGAGGATTCAGAAATTTTGAAAATCCTGAATAGATTTGGAAATTCTGAGAACTGAAAATCTTGGGAATCCTGAAAACTAAAATCTTGGAATATATAAAATTTAAAAAAATGATTTAGAAATTTTGACAGTTCCAGAAGTTTTGAAAACTTAATAAATTCTGAAAATTCTTTGAAATCCTATTTTAAAAATTTTGGAATTCAGAAAATTTTGAAAATTCTAATAGTAGTGGAAATTTTGATAACCATGACAATTTTGAAAATTCTGAAAATTTTGAAAATATCCAAAAATGGTAATTTTTAACTCAGAACCCAGAACTTGAAAATTTAGAAAGTTTGAAAATTTGAAAATTTTGTATATTTTGAAAGCTGAATTAAGAAATTTGAAAATCTTGGACAGATTTGAAAACGGAGAACTGACAATTTTGAAAATTATGAGAATTTTATGAAATTTTGGAAATTTTTATATTTTGAAAATTTTGTAAACTTGAATTTGAGTCTGAAAGTACCGAAATTCTGAAAAATTTTAGATTAAAATTTTAGCAGTCCAATATTTTCGAATTTTCAAAATACCCATTATTTTCGAAATCTTCCAAATTCCCAGAAGTTAGATCTTTCATAATTTTGAAGATTCAAAAATTTTGAAAATCCTGCGAAGATTTGAAAACTTTGAGAACTAAAAATTTCGATAACGACGGCAATTTTGAAAACTGCGAAAATTTGGAAAATTGTGAACTATTAAAATGAATGAAAATTTTGAAAATTTTTAGTTTTGAAAATTTTAGAAATATTGAAAATTATGAAAATCTCGACGATTCAAAAAACTTTGGAAACTCGAAAACTATTGAAAGTTTTGAAAGTTGTAAAAATTTTGACAATTTTCAAGATTTTTATAATTCTGAAAAATTAGAAACTGAAATGTTGCAGAATTTAAAAAAATTGAAATTATTAAAATTTTGAAAATTCTGAAAACTGAAAAGCTTGAAGGGTTAAACATTTGTACAGTTTAGAAAATTTTGAAGCGTACAAATTTTGTGAATTCTGGAACATTTCCAAATTTTTGGAACTTATGGCAGCGGTCACAGCAATAAGGCTAAGATCACACCGGAGTTGTCAGGTTCAGCGTGAAGGGTGGCCTAAGCCTTTAACACCCTGATGGTTGATATCGGAACAAAAATCAAACACTGACTCACTGTTTCCTTGACAGAAATTTCCAAATACTGCAAAATGCATACACAACGTGAGGCGATACGATTTCAAGTTCATCTTCGTAAGTGTTGATAACAATAACAATGCTCACCTTCAATAATATAGTTTATTAAAACAATTTGCGTTGGAAGTGGGACAAATCGAATAAACAAAGATGGCGGTGATCTGCGAAAAAAAAATAGATTTCGACACGTTTATTTTATTAGACGATGTGGGTAGTGCCAGTTGTGCTGGTGTTATTTTGTGATTTTTTCGCAAACGGCAGTGCTTCGATTTTCCCGCTTTTTCCTGAAACGCTCTACCATTATTCGCCACCAGAAAATGACGTTTATTTCTATATGTACCACAGGTAAGTGAGACCATTACATTTATTAATAATTAATTCTTATCAAAGAAATGAAAAGGTTTCTTTAATCAGAAATAAGGTCCCTGCTACTTTTCTGCAAAAAAAAGAGTAAAGTAGGTTGACTCGTCCACGAGCGCGTCTTCTCTTTTTACATAACCAGAACTACGTTGCGTTGACTCTTAACGAAACACGTGTTACGAACACCTTTCGGCACGTGCACCTTAATTGAAACGAAGTCTGTTACACGGCTGGGCGTGCATCCGTATTCTCGAAACTTGCGAATGTTTGTAATGAAATCTGCTAGACTGCGATAATTTTCCCGCGGAGATACGTTGCAGGGATGTTCTCTATTTAATTGTGCAAGTTTTCGGATAGGCACATCGCAGAGGAATTGCTCCGATATTTTATATCAAGTACTTAAAGTACCTTAAAAACTCGGCACAACCAAAAAAGATATTGCTCGTATTCATGCGACATTAAGGCCCGATTTTACTGTTAACCGGTAAGAAACAAAATTTGCGCCTATAGCAAATT